GACCTGCGTGCTCCAGTTGCCCCGCTCGTGGGACCCCGGCGGGCCGGCAGGACGGGAGGCGTCCGCCCCGCTGGGGACGCACCAGGGTAGTCTCGCCGCCGGCCCGCAGCCGGCCAGGCTGCTTCTCCAGGCTGACTGCAACGGGAGAGACGGCGCAATTGCTCCGGAGGGCCAAGGTATTACTGTCTGAAGGAATAAGCTTCCCAGTGCAACATGTTCCCAGGCTAAAAATATTTCTTCCAGGAAAAAGGCTGGCTGCTGCCACCAGCTTTGTCTCGTGGCTGGCATTTCCAGGTAAGACAGGACGCAGAGCTCTCATGACGTGAGGTCAGTGAAAATACCAATTGCTGGCAACTTATTTCCTACGGAGAAACTATGAGGTCAGCTTTTGGCTTTGGCACCTTGTTTAGCATTTGCAGGGAACTCTGAGGGAGCAAATGTCTCCGACAGGATTCCCACGAAGGAGTCATGCAGAAGGAAAAATAAAAATAAAAAGAGAGCGTGGACAAATGAGGTAGAGAATATTGCTCTGGAGGTGGAAGCTGGTGTCAACAGAGATTACGGTTCTGCTCCTACCTTTGGGCCTTGTTCCTCCATCTGTAGAATGAAGATAACATCACCTCTTCGCAGAAAGGTGGAGAGTTTAATTCAGCAGTGTCTAATCGGGTATTTCTAAGCCCTTGACAGTAGTACAGCTTTATTGTTAGGGGCAATACAGGTGGTGCCTAAGAAGGGAGCAGTCTGCTCCATGCAGCTGGCCAGATTTGGGGGTTTGAGGATCATCTAAGCGTTCAGGTGTTTTTCCAAAATCCCTAGAAGCTAGTCCCTCTCGCGCAGCATCTCCTTGCATATCAGCACACACGTGAGAAACACCCAAGCCCCTTTTTTTCCTAGCTCGCACAGTAAGAGCCATCAAATCTGCCCTCCTTCCACTGTCATCAGGTGTGTGTGTCCCAAAGCAAGGTGAGGCAAAATATTCAAATGCAAACGGCACCCAAGTCAGGTATGAGAAGTCTTGGGTGTACCAGGAAGCCACCCAGCCTGTCTGCATGCTGAAAAGATGTAGACAGGCGAGCTGGAGCAGAACAGCCCATGGAGCATTGGGGTCTTGCTTGGGAGAGATGGTCTTATAGATACAACGAGGCAGGTGGATTCCTCCCTCCCCATCCCAAGATCTTTCTAGTAGACCAGCAGGTATTCGCATAAAAGACCTGTAACTAAAATAAGCAAAGCCAGCAGCGCCAGCCTGCTGTCCAGGCAGCCCAACAGTGCCGAGGCACGGATCTCCACCTCCTCCAGCGCAGATGCGGAGGCTGCTGGACGCCCGTGGCAGCTGTCTACCTTTCCAGTACCTCCAGCTGCTCCCGCTCATGAGTGCCGACTCAGGCATCTCTGCCACCACTGAAGGGCGTATGGAGCAGGCTTTCCCAGCAGGTTAAACGATGGCTTAACTGTTCCTATTGAAATTCATTGCTGGGAGTTAAACAGCTTCCAGCAGATGATGGATTGTGTCTGGCTGGTAATTCTCCTCCGAGAGCCCCTGGGAGGTAGGACAGCTTTGGCAACAGGTCTCTAGGCTCAGGAAGGGTAGAGCATGGTTGGCTCCCCCAGTGCCCTGCTTCAGCAGCCCTCCGCTCCCAGGTATTTTTCAGGACCTGGTGGTTGGCCCCCAAACGCCAGCTGTTTGGTGGAGCCTGCAACGCAGTTACACCGAAGCACCAGCTTTGCAGAGCCACCCTGTTTTAACATAAGAGGCTCCCTTCACATAAGGCCTTCCTTAGGGAGGCTTTCACGCGGCTCCCTCGCAGCCTCACGTTACTCCTTTTGCCTGCAAAGGCAACTGCTTCCCCTCCCCAGAAAGCCCCCAATTGACCCACGTTTCCCTCTTTTAGCCCCATCTTCCAGGTGCAACATCTAGTGGACCCCCCCCAAAACAGCTCCCCTTAACCCCCTCTGGCCAGCAAAAGATGTACCCAGTACAACCGAGGTCTGTCCTACTCTAGCGTTGTCCAAGCTTTTGGAAAGACGCTGCTTTAGAGAGAAATAGGCTTCCTGTTTTGCTCATCCCAGTCCCAGACAGAAAGTGCCTTTGCCAAATATATCTTCAAATCCCTGCCAGTAACACGCAGCCATGGAATATGGGAGACTGGGTGGGGGGGGGAAGAAAAAAACCCAACAAAAACCAAAAAAAACCCAGAATTTAATTTTGAAGACCCAGCTAGTCTTATAGCTTTTCAACCTCGGGAGCAGGTGAGCCAATAATAAAATAAACTGCTCAGAGAGGAAATGAATATTGGGTTTTGTTCCAAATGGATGAGTTCAGCCAGAGTCTGAAAAAGGGGGGAAAAAAGAGCAGGAATTGTTCTGTGACAAACGTATTTTGACAATCCGGCTGAAAGGGCTGACAGAGTTATGAGCGAGGGGGAGGACTCACCGATCGCCGGGTGTCATTTCACTTGTTTTTCTTGATTCAGGCTGGCCTCGCTAACAATGCGTGTCACCGCCCAGCGCTGGGAAACATCCTTTGCCGAGTGACACCTGGCATTGGTGAAGGTAAAGCTGACTCTCCGACCGCGATATACCTGCCAACAGCGGGGCCCCGGAGCGCCCCAGCGCGCAGGGGTGCTGCGAGGGGTATCCGCCAGACGGACAGGTCCTCGACTCGCAAGCTTGTGTATGATGCTTTGTGATGGGCCCTCCTAAAGCGGGAGGGGATGGGGCGCTCGCTCTGCCCGGGGGCCACCTCCGCCACGCTCCCGGCCTTCGCTGCAGCGGGGCTGCACGCCGCCGGTGCAAATGCAGCGCGTTTTTTTAAGTGCAATGGAGGCTGGTTACATAACCGAACGGGAGTCTCGCAACTCAACTCCAGCGCGCTTCGGATGATGCCCTACCTGACTAGGTTTCAGCGAAGTCAAGGGCAGGACTTTAGCTGCTGCTCCGGTTGTTTCGGTTCGCACGTGCTGAAACAGGACTCGAGCTCTCCATTTACAGCCGAGCCCTGCAGCGGGTAACGGGGAAAAGGGTGGGAGGGTGGTGGCCACGTAATTTTGGGCTCGTGAGCGGAGCAGAAGGTTGGGATTCAAGCAAAAGCAGCTCTGGAGGGGGGATGTCTGGCACACAGCCTGCGAGGAGTGTTTGCCGAGAGGGCGGACAACGACCGCTCGGACCGCAAAGGGGAACGGCCTGATTTCTGGCAAGCGACCGTAGCGACACATCAAAGCCGTGACTTGCCGATAGCGTGGAGGTGCCCACCGCCCGCGCAGGTTCGGTACTGCCCAGGCCTGCAGCCACGTCACGGTGGCGACCACGGCCAGCGCTGGGCTTTCGGCTGCGTCACAGAGGACGGTGCTGAGCACATGCTTGCTGGGGTCAAGACCTCTCTCCCCATCCCCAAAAATGGGGTGTTGTAGGTTTAATGAGGAGCTACCGGTGACCAAAAATGGGTCTGAGGGACTGGAACATTTCCTGCTGCGGCTATTTAAATTAATACCATACTTACATTGACCTAAATCCAAAGTCCCCAAGTCCAAGGCTCTGGCGATTGCCAGGGTGTGACGTGTCCTTTTGTGAGGAACAGAGCCAGCGGCGCCTGGTCATGAATGGGGTTTGTGTTTTGGGAGTGGGCGTCAGCGCAGAGCCTCCCATATCCCACTCTGGGCGTGCCGCTGACGCCGCGGTCGCTCCCGGAGCGGGACCCGGGTACAGCCCCTGCCCCGTCCACCACCCGCCTCGCAGGACCATCCAACGCGCCTTAAATCACGCACAGGTTGGGAAGGGGGTGAAGCGGGTGCTGGCAGACAGACAGACAGACAGACAGACAGTTACGCGTTACTGCACAAACTCCATTTCCTTAGGAAATCTGGCTAAAAACGATGTCTGGATTGGGGACTCTGGGGATTTTTAAAGCCCCTTCTCGACCTGGATCCGGTGGCTCAGGAAACAGCCTGCGCAGTAACCAGTCACCTCCATGGGAGCATCTGCCTCGGGAAACAGAGCAGACACACCACGCTCTCCCTGGCCTTCTGCTGACGGAAAGGACCTGGGAAGAGACAGGACATGATTTCAGAGCGGAAAATATCCAACTGTGGCCACGGCTTCTCTCGGAGCACCTGTTAGTCTTTTGCGGGTGCATCTCCCACCCAGGTCTAGAGGTCTATGAATGTTCATTTTAACGTCCAAAAGAGCACTTTCCTTTGAAGCAGAAATCAGAGCGCACGTGGGCAAACCTGATAGCATTTCAGAGAGGTTCCCTGTGGGACAAATTTGTCTCTTTGGTTAAAGGATACCTGTTAAAGGATATGTCAAACCAAACCGTGACCATGCTCAGAGAAGGAGTCTCCTCGCAACTTGTTATGAGTCATTCTGAATCATCTGAGACAACTTGCCATTGCTAATGGTAATTTGTTAGCAACAGTAATTTTGAGAATTTTGAATTTTGGATAGATCCACTGAAGTTCTTCCCGTCCTAGAAGCCACTGTGAAAAATATCTGGACTGGGAGGTTGTATGGTGGGAGCGGATTTGACAGCTCTGCTTTGTCTTTGACCCTCCACTCTTTGCCAGAAGTATTATGGATGCTGGGGATGGGAGAACTTGAGACCTTCTTCCACCTTCCCGGTGTTTGTTTCCCTCAGATGGACTCTGCAGCTTTTCATATAAACACATTTATATTTTGCTTCCCTGCAGAGTGACATCTTTTCAGGACATGTTTTCTGAGGGTGAGAACAGAGGGCAGGCCTCTGAAAACCTCCCTGCGAACAGCACATCACTTCTAAGATAAATAAAGTACTTAGATCAAAAACTGGTGGTGGCGGGGGGCAAATGCAACATGAATTTCTCTCAAGGCTAGGGGGAAGTCGCTCTGCTTCCAAAAACAACCAGCTTGCCTTTGCACTGATGACCAAATCACAGGACAACGTTCAAAAAACTGAAGGTCAGGTTGACTAGGACGGGAAGAACTCCAGAAACTGCCAATGATGTATTCTTTTAGCATTTGTCCCTGACCGTCTCTTGCAGACCTTTCCCACCCAGCTTAATGTTTATGCCCAGCTTGGCCTTGGAAGAAAGGAATCCATCCATCAAGTTACTTTGGATAACTAATGAGAGAAAAAACAAACAAGCCTGGACAGTTTTAGTTGTCCTGGTTGCTGCATTCTGCTCCCACTAAACTGCTTCAAGCTATTACTCATCAGTCTAATACAAGGTAAAAGGCAGAACAGAGCCAAGGCTCCTGATTGCTTGCTCTGGTGGAGGTTATACGGGAGAGTCTCATCTCTCCCTCTGCCGTGGTGGATAACGCCTGACCATGGTGACGCTAGAGCCCAACCCATGCTGAGATTCAAGGCCAGCCGGTGTTTTTTCAGCCCAGCTGCGACTGTTCCTGTTCTGGTGCGTCTTCCCCGCATCAGCATGGCATTTGCTCTTCCAAAACCCACCTCGTGATAGTGGTGTGACGGCTTACCTCCATGGCACAGGCGTGGAGGGGTGGTGAGTCTTCTGTGGACACTGTTTGTCCTAGCGTAGCTCAAGCAGAGATAGGTACAGCTGGCTGAGGGAGGGGATGCCTGTTGCTGAGACAGGGAGGTGTCTGGAGAAAGGTGCCAATATGGAGCTGTCAAAGCTGGAGCCACCTCAGCTCCCGAATGGCCGCGTTTTGATCCAGCTCCATACGGGAACAGCCCTGGGAGAAGCGTCGCCGCTATGCGAGGTGCCTGGCTTACGAAAGGCTGATGGAGGAGAGCATGAACAGCCAGTTTTGTCCTCTTCTACCCCGGCGGATAAGTGGAAGCGGCGCTGCCAGCTCTAATAACCCCTCATGCCCCACCAGCCGCTTTGCAAGACGCAGGCCTTGTTAACATGCAAAATAATGTAAAGATGCAGGTGAGGTTCCGGCTGGTTAAACAGGAGATGCTTCAGTGAGAATTGTCCAATTAAACCTCCATCTCTCCCATGCTTTCATTTCCTCCCCCACCCCCTCCATTGTACCAGCATTATCAACCAAGACGACGGACGCAAGTCCTAATCTGGCGCCTACCGCATTAAGCAATCACAAAGTACATCATGCACGCATGTATGTTCATACGGTGCCATTTTGGGTCTCTTGGGTACCATACCAGGGCTGATAGGGGGCAAAGCAAGCTAACCAAAACCCAACTATATACCCTGCCACACATCGTATAGTCGTCCTTCTTCCTGCGCAACTAACGCTGAAAGCCAGAAAAAAAGCGCTGTAGAAGAAAGCGGGTACCCGTGCTCTCAGTAAGGGTGGACGCTAGGCTCTGCCCACGCACACGCAAAGGATCTCCAAGTCCTTGGAAAAACGGCTAACACCTTCCCACCAGGTCCAGTCCTTCCTGTTCCAGACGTGCCCGGCTGGATGCAAGGACGTGGCTGAGTTACACTGCCGTATTTCTGCGCAACTTGTATGTCACGCCTCAGCCCCCAATATTCCCAATAACTGCTTGTCTTGACAACTACTTTTCTCTGAGCATTTCCACTGCATTTTTATTTGGGCTTTGTGATGAAATAAGAGCAAAGCCGCAGTTACCAGAGCTCCTGGAGCTAAAAAAAATACAGCTTTGGAGTACAGATTAGGTTTATTTTATTAGACGTAACACTTGTTTGCCAACAAAATACAGATTTCAGACCTAAAGTTGAAAAGTTCTAATGCAACGAGTTAGCTCTTTGCTCACCCGTCTGCTGGAATAACAGAACCTGGTGACACATCCGGACAGCTCGGAGCAGCGGTGTAAAACGTCAGTGCGGGGCCGGCGAGAGCAGACTCACGTCACACAAAGCTGGGCACCGCTGTACCGCGGACAGGACAGAGGCCGGCAAAAAAACGGGGATTACAGCTCTCATTCTCTGGGGAGAAGGACGTGGACTCGAGGTTTGCTAGGGGCACTGAGACATGCCGTGGAGGCAGGAGGTGCCTCTTTGGGGTCCCTACTGCTACGCATCCTGGCGGTCAGGATGCAGCCGCCAGCGCTAGGATTGCCAACTCTCCCTCTAGGCGTGCTTGTGATTACAGCAAATCCCTCCCCATCGGGGCTGCAAGTGGGTAAAATTGAGCAAGGGCCTCACCTGCCCCGAGCTCATCACTGCTGGCTTCCCCCGGCGCCGGCCCGGGCACTGAGCACGGCTGGTAAAAGCAGCAGTAAGTGAAATTACATTAACCTCCCCAGGCAAGGCGATAATTTGTTTCTGTGAGGCCATCTGACGCCCGCGAGAGCTTGCTCAGGGCCCCTGGAGAGGGAAGCCAGGACCTGCAAAGACAGAGATTTCCACCACGCTGAGGACCATCTCCCCTCTTTGCCATCTCCCTAGCCCTCCTGGAGAGGTGTGAAGCCGCAGCTGGCTATTGCATGACACCAAATCCTGCCAAAGTGACCCCGAGCTGCTGGCAATTAGCACTGGACATCTCTCATCCAGTCCTGCTTGCACAGGGCAAAGGACAGGGGACCAGCAAAAGCACTGGTTCCTATCCAAGTTTAGCTCCAGCCCATGACCTGCCTATCCCATGGAGAAATCTAAAAGGATTTTAGGTTTCCTTCATCCTTCATGAGGATGAGGCATTTGAGATATAAAGAGCGAAAAAGAGAGAGGAAAAAAAAAGCCATGCTCTGGAGCTGGGTTTAAGCAGGGTTCTCCAAGATGCTGGGCAACCAGAGAAGTTGGGACACTTGGGATGGACGGCTCGTTCCAACTAATTCTGAGCTTGTTCAAGCCACGACGGAGTCTGGCTGATAAGTGCTCAGCCAGGGCCGGGTTTGCTTTCTGATGGGAAAAGAGCTGGGAGGCTCTTCTGACGCGAAGCTGCCCGAGAGCTAGCTCGCGTGGGTATTTTGGTGGCCCTCGTGCTGCCCATCCTGCTGTGCACGTGAAGACGATGGCAAGGGATTCTCTGAGGAGCCCCTTGTTGGCTGCAAGCAGACCAGGACTTCTCGCTTGTGGCTGACGCGGGGATCGTTGTTCAGCGGGTCGACTTTGCGCGGGAGCA